TGTTTTCTTCCCCTTCTGAGACCTAGCTGAAGGGCCGCATCGCGGCAGCTGCTGGAGTCAGTTGCCGAAGCCGAGCCTGGCCTGAGTGGAGCCAAGCCTGCCCCGCCGAGATGACCCTGACACTGCTGCTTGGCCTCGGGGGGCCCCTCTGCTGGGCGCTGCTGGGGGTCTGGGCCCAGGCCCCTGGATCCACGCTCTCTGATCAGCACAGCCCCGGGTTGCCTGGGGACTGGATGGCAGAGGCTGAGACCACCAGCTGGGACTCTGCCAGACGGTAAGGATTAAGCAGATCTCGGTCACGACACAGGGTCTGAGGCCCAGCTGAGCCAGGGCAGGGCCTCTCCAGACCTTGGTACCCACCTGTGAAATGGGCAGGTACCAGCTGGAGGTTCTGCACACAGCCCGGGCCCAGCCAGGAGGAGGGCAAGCGCTTGCCCGACCCGTGTCAGGAAACGGACCTGGTAGCGCCCACCGCCAACCCGGCATGGGCACTGGGCTGTGGTCCTGGAAGCTGTCTCCGGCTGGCCTGGCTATGGATCCTGTCCTTCGAAGGAAATCAATTCTGAAAACCGAGCCCAGCACGGCAGGCCCAGCCCAAGTCATGAGAGGTAGATCTCCCGGGAGGGGACTTGGCTCCGAGTGTCTGGGGCCTGGCCCAGCTGAGCAGGGAGCAGAGGAGCACCCGCTCCCCAGAGCCCCGAGCAGGGGTGGGCGTGGCGGGTGGAGGCATCCAGTGTGCTCTGCCTGGTGCCCCCGTGAGACCATCTACGGTCTTGTTACAGGACTCAGAACACTGTCAATTTGTCCTGGGTCGGGGACTGTCCTGCTAAGGGGCTGGGCCTGTGTGTCCTCCTCGGGGTCCGAGGTGGCCCTGGACCCTCATCTCTAGCCACCACTGTCCCAGCAGCAGATGCCATCAACTCGGCGGGCACCTCGAGGTCTTTTTAGCCAACCCCCTACCCCCCCCACCCCACTTACAGAGGACAAGCTGAGCTCAGAGAGACTGAGCATCTTGTCCCGGGCCACACAGAAAAGCAGAACTGGAACGGGGCCCGAGTCTGGCTCCAGAGCTCACACTGGCCCCGAGTGGACTCTCCCCGTGCCCCGAACACGAGAGGTGGTTGGCCGCCCGGGGCGCCTGTGGGTGAGGGCCGCTTACACCACCCAGAGCCTCCCACGGGGATGTATGCAAGTCACCGTTGCGCTGGTCGGGGGGGGGGGCAGGTCTGCGTGGACGGGCCGGCTCCTCTGAGCTTCCAGGGGAACCGTCGGGCTCTTCCCCAAAGCGGGTTTGGCCAGGGAATGGCGGGAGGGTGTGTAAATAAGGGCAGGGCCGCTGGGAGGTGTGGGGGGCAGTGGCCCAGGCAAGAAGCCTGTCCTGCCTACCCTCAGTTCCACCCAGGGCTGGGGGAGCAGGTGGCTCTTGGGGGTCATCCAGCCACCCAGTTCTGACTCGAGGACCAAGGACCAAGTCTTCCTTCCCAAAGCCATTGGCTCGGGGCTGAGTCTCTGGGTCACCTTCCTCCCTTTGGTAAAAGGAAGACGCAGGGACTCCAGTGGCCAGGAAAGAGGAGGGGGCGCCCTCTTTCTCCCCACCCCTTGGTGGGGGGGGCAGCCCCAGAGCGAGGGCCAGCGGACTGCCCGGAGCTGCCCTTCCTTGGGTGGTCTTAGAGTGCCCAGGCTGCCCAGCAGCCCTGAGCCTGGGACCTCCACCTGCTGGGGTCCCCCTCCCACAGCGGCAGGAGCCACGATGCTTCGGCCAAGCCCAGACATCCGGAGAGGCTGGTGAGAGAGGAAGGAGAACGGAGCTCGGGGCTTCCGGGGCTGACTCCGCCCCTGAGTGACTGACACGCCAAGGACAGCACCTCGCTCCCAGCAGCAGGGGCGGCACGGCAGGCCCCCGCCAGACCTCCCTGCCTTTGCCTTCACCCGTTCCCTGGCTGGGCAGGACAGGGCAGGCCCCGGGCACAGCTCCTGACCAGACCCTTGGCAAGGAGAAACGTAAACCGAACAACTGGCGGCTGATGCCCGGTGGCCCAGACCACAGGTCCCCGGGCTGGGGGTGTTGATGGCTCCCAGCCCCACCCCCAGGCCAGGCCAAGCCAGGGAGCAGCAGGCCAGCGAAGGGCATGGCTCTTTGCTCTCCCTGGCTCCAGTGGTGTGTTCAGAACCTCAGCCAGGACCTGCTCCGAGTCTGCAGTAGGGACCGTGCTGAGCCCCAGGCAGGTTGTCTCACCACAGTTATTGTCATGACGGCTTGGCAGATGGGGACCTTCTGAGGCCACTGAGCTCCTGTGGGACCGAGCAGAGGCCTGCCTCCACTGGACTGCAAATCCCAGGGGCCCTCTGTCCTGCCCCAGAGGGCCCCAAGGCCTGTCAAGAGCAGTGGGGGGCGAAGCTGCCCCTGGCAGCCCAGCTGGCCCTGGTCACCAGGGTCCGGCTCCTCCTGACCCTTAGCCAGGAGCATTTGAGACTTCTGCAGCTGGGAGCTTGAGACCAGAGGAGTGCAGTGTACTGTCGAGGTCACACAGGGGCCCAGGCTGTGCCTCTGCACCTGCTCCTGCCGGGAGGTGGGGGGACGGGCCCAGGGCGTGAACAGGGAAAAGCCCCCTCTGGCTGGAGCTGAGACTCCCAGGCCCACACTCAGGGAGCCCTGCTCTGGGCTGCAGGCCGAGTGGGCCTCAGGCTTCTCTGCCAAGGCCCCTTTCTGGCTCAGGGATAGAACCCTGAGCTTCTCCCCTGGGGCTGCGCTGATGGCTGGGAGAACGCAACTCCTTCCCGGGGCGGGGTCATGGCATGCATTATGCAGGCCCTGCTTTCCTGCTGGAGGCTCCAGGCTCTCTCTGCGTCCACCACACCCCTCTCTCTGTGGGGGAAGGGCCTTGTTAAAGGTCACCTGAATCTGGAGGGGGGAGGAGGGAGGCCAGGCCTCTGGGCTGCTCCTCTTTAGAAGCTCCGCGGCTAGCCCACCCTCCTTTCTGGGATTTGGCATCTGGTTGGGGCCGTGATGGTCAAAGTAGGCCACTGGGCCCTGCTGGGCTGGCGCCTGTGGCTCACTAGAGCACTGGGAGAGGGGGCACCCAGCAGGGTCCCGGGGGAGGAGGGCACAGAGGGAGCAGGCCCGAGCTGGGGGGCAACAAGAACAATGGGGCTCTCAGCAGGTCGGCAGGGGCACGGGCGCCAGGGCCTGCAGGGAGCTGCCAAGAGCGGAGGAAACCAAAGCAAAGGTCAGGAATGTTCTCAGGGCACTGGGGCCAGCAGCCTGCTCAGTGCCAAGGGCGGGGAGCGTGGGTAGTGAGAACGCGGCCGCTGGAGGCCAAGGTTCGGGCAGGTCAGAAGAGAAAGTTCCCGGGCAGGAAGGGTGGGCAGCCCAGCGTCCAGTTCCAGGAGCTGGAGGTGGAAAACCTCGGTCATTTCTGGCAGGCTGGGCCAGCCCCAGGGGCCCAGGTCACAGGCCAAGGGCTCTCTGCAGGGGCCAGAGGCTGTCCAAGGAGGGGAACTTTGCTCAGGGAGGGCACTTCTCAACCTTGGCATGCAACGCCTTGCACTAAACCCTCCCTGTTGCAGCGCGTCCTGCGCACCATGGTGCCAGCGCCATCCTCGGCCCTCACCGCGAGATGCCGGTAGCACAGCCATAAATGTCCCCGGCTATTGCCCAGTACGCCTGGCCCAGGTCCCCATGTCCCTCACCTGTCTCCCTCCACAGAGAACCACCGATTTACGGGGGCGTTTCTGCCCTCTAACAGGCTGTCTGGTCCAGGAATCCCCACAGGCCAGGACAGACATCTGGGGGCGGTGTCTCCCAAGCTTCCCCGGCTCTGGGCCTGACTTCCACAGCCCTGGGCGAGCTGAGCTTCCTTGTCCCCCAGCCTATGCCCTCCTTCTACCGTTTCCCAGTCCCTCAGGGCAGACTGCTTTGCTCAACCCGGCGCCATCGCCCATCGCCCCGTTTTCATGACTTGGTCTTACAGTGAGTTTTGTCTTTTGAAGCGTTCTTGGCTATCCACCTGCATTTTCCGTTCCAGACGGAGATGGCTTTTATTAATTTCATTTCAGCTTCATTTTTGCTGAGCTTACACACTCACAGGCGGGGTCAGAAAACCACGACGAGCCGGCGGGGTCTGGCCCTACAGTGTTCTCAGTGTGCTGTCAGAGCATGGCCAGGCTCCGTTGTTTACGCGCCATCAGCGAACGCTTTCATGCTATGACGGCAGAGTTGACAGAATCATGTGACCTGGAATGCCCCAAATCGGGCCAGTGTCACGGGGTCCGACCTGCACAGTCACGCATAAGGCCCTCACTCCAAGGGGCCCCACTCTTGGGTCAACTCTGCTGTCTCCACCTTGAAATTGTTCATAATAGCAAGAGGCCCATGTTTTCAGATTCCCCCCAGGTCTTGCTGACCACGCTTACTGCCTGTCCTTTTTCAACAGGGTGTTTTCCCATTTATTTGTGCCTTGTTCTATTTCTTTTTCTGAGAGGGAATTTTACTATAGGGCGTGTGTGTTCTCCAGAGAGACAGAAAGCAAGAAATCACCCCCCAGTCTCCTTTTGGGATTTTGGGCTCACACACATGGGCCTCGCATGAATTTTAAGCCGTCGGGTCTGGGACTCAAATAGCAGTTGACTACATGAGAGTCCAGTGACATAACTATCACTCCATCTGCTGGTCCCACTACCTGCCCCGTTAAAGGAGAAACTTGCCAACCTGCGTGAGAGTCAACCAGCTCTACAGGGTTTGCAGAGGTCAGCAACCCCAGTCCACTGTGGTCCCTGAAGGCAATGACTGTCAGCTCTCTCTGGGTGACTGTCTGCATTTACTTCTGTACCTCATTCCTACCCTGTGCCACAACCCCAAAGCACGTGCATGTCTGTGCACAGATATGCACGTGCACACACACACACACACACACACACACCCTCCTCCCGCGCTGCCAACTTTACGCCCATGTTGCCTGTGCGCTGCTTACAGTGCTGAGCCTTGAAAGACGCTGGGAACCTTCTCCCCTGCGTACTCTTGGTTTTCCCTGGGGTTCCCCCACTGTCGGTGCTGACAGCTAAACACCCGAGTATGGTAAAGCACACAGTTTAGGGCCAGCCAGTGCTGTGACGGCGAACACAGCTGGACCCCACTTGGCTGACGATGCAGTTCAAGTCCCAGACAAGTGACTTGAAAAAAACACACCAGGGCCAGCAGGCGGTGTGGAGGTTGGGATGCTGGACCCCTCGTGGCTGACTGTGTGGTTTGAGTCCTGGACCCAGGGGCTTTGAAAA